CACCATACAAAGTTAATTCCTATGCCCCAGATTTCTTAGGAAACATAATCCAGAAGCTGTACCCCTTTTGCTTAAATGATACAGATTCCTTTGGGAAAAAACATCACAGCTCGCTTATTTGCTGTGTGGTTGGCAAGTCCCACTGGAAAGCAGAGCCATTCGGTCTGTGTTCACACGTCACTGACACACTGCAGGGACGAGGACATGTGCAACCATCCCTAGGCCTTCGGAGGAAGTCATTACATAAACAGAAGGAGCAACTGAGGGCATGGAAGGACCCTAACCAACCACCCCAAGGCCTCGGGAGGAACAGAGTGACCGAGGGTGTGAACTGATGCTAACGACCCGCCAGCTCTTCCCGCTCTGCAGAGTGGGCCCGGCAGCAGCCAGGCAGGACACGGATGCGCTCGCCAAGGGCTTCTAAGGTACAGCATCACTGGCCTTGTCTACCCAGAGAGGGTCCGCCTGCTTACCAGGCCTCCTTGAGCTGTGGGAAAGCTCTAGGACAGAGAATACAAGCAGTCAATCTAAGGTAGCAGTTCCAACTCAGGGCACATCCAAAGCACAAGGGGGACTTGCTGGAAGAGACCACCGGGCCCCGCCCCAGTTTCCGATCCACTACATCTAGGGTGGGGCCTGAGAATCTGTCTGACCTCTGACAGCTCCGAGGTGGAACTGACACTGCCAGTCCAGGACCCACTCTGGGAATCATGGCTAGTTTCCGTGTTAACAGAGGCTGTTCACTGTAGCCTGTATCTTGCAAGGTTTCTGCTGACCATTTAAAAACAAAATACATCAGCTTTATGTTAGTTTTCCAACATTTTACTGGAAATAATATTCAAGTCACAAAAAAGTTGCAAGAATAGCACAAAGAACACACTCGCGTGCCCTTCACCCAGATTCCCCTCTTGCTCCCATTGCTGTGTCTACCATCACTCTCTTCCTCCCTTCTCCATATACATCAGATACTTTTTTCTAAATCATATGAGCAAAAACTGCATATAAATCATGGCCCTTTACTCCTAAAGACTTGCATGTATTTCCTAAGAATGAGGATGTTCTCTCATATGACCCACAGTGGCCAACTTCAGTGAATTTAACTGATAAACCACTGTTACAACTAAGATAGAACAGCTCATTTTTACCCAAAGTCCCACATGCTTATACCTTACAGTCGGCCCCTCCCCAACACGACGACAGCCACTATTTTCCATTCCTATAATTTTGCCTTTTCCAGATGTCATATAAATGGAATAAAAGAGTATGTAGTCTTTTTTAAAATCAGAATCTGTGGCATCTTACTACACTGATGGACAGTGACTACACTGGGGTGTGGGTGGGGACTTGATAATATGGGTAAATGTAGTAACCACATTGTTTTTTCATGTGAAACCTTCACAAGAGTGTATATCAATAATACCTTAATAAAAAATAAAAATACGTAATAAATAAAATGTATGATCAGATATACATAACATAAAATGTACTACATTAACTATTCTAAAGTATAGAAATCAGTGGCATTAAGTACATTCACAATGTTACGCAAGCACCACCTCTCTCTGGTCAGGAAGGCACTTCCATTACCCCGCAGGGAAACCTGCGCCCAACAAGCAGCCCACCCCCTCACCCCAGTTCTCTCTCCTTCAGCCCCAGGCAAATACCAAACCACTTCCTCTGCTTTCTGTTGCTAGGGACATGCCTGCTCTGGACACGTCATACAGTATGTGGTCTCCTGTGTCTGCTCCTTTCATTGAGCTTGTTTCCGAGGCTCATCCAGCGGCAGCGTGCGCCAGTTACTTCCTTCCTTTGTATGGCGCATGCAGCCTTTTGCGTCTGTTTCTTTCTCTCGGCATAATGCCTCTGAGGTTCATCAGGTTGCCAGATGCATGAGTAGCTTCCTCCTTTTTACTGCTAAGCAGTGTTTCAGTGTATGTTTATAGCAGTTTGTCCAGCACCAAAGACAGTTCACTCCTGATCCTCTCCCCAGGAATATAATCATGTAACTCAAGGTAATTTACACCTAATGGGGTTATAGTTTCAAAGAGCAAAAGAAAAACTCAATACACATAACACAGTAGGCTCACATTTCCTTATCTACAATCCCAAAATCCAAAATGCCCCTAATTGTCAAGTTTTTTGGTAAGTTTTCAGTGAAGTCAAATTTGGAGACAAATCCTGATCTACACTACACTGACTCTTTTCAAAGTCTTTATTTAGTCCTCTTAATGAAAATATTCACACATTTTGAGGCAGAAGTATTATTATGTCTGATGTACATCTCACTGGGGGCTACAATTTATAGATAATCCATGTACTGCATTACCTTTCTATGTTCAAAAAGTTCACACACTCATCTGACCCCATAGATTTGGATAAAAGTTGTGGCCCTGCACTAACATGCTTCTAAATGAGACAAAAGTTAACCTGACAATGACTGCAGTTGGTGAGCAGGCACTAATCTTTCCTGCTGCAGACTGGCTCCCCATTACAGCAGCGAAAAGGACGAACTCTACTCTCCATCCCCTCCTGACAAGTAATGTCCATCTGGCATGGGCTTTGCAGGTTATCACACAGCCTAAAAAAAACTGACTGCCATGTATAACAGTCACTTTTTTCTACCGAGAGTCACACAGAATCTTTCAACCAGCAAATGTTCGAGTTCTCAGGACATGTGACTGTCCCAAGGCATAGTCTGCAGCAGATGTGCAGCACACGCCACTGTGACCCCTCAGTGGCCCTGTCACACGACTCTCCCCATACACCACAGCTACTCGCTGCCCGCGCACTGGGAACCTGGCAGGGGCTGGCAGAGGGCCAACCACTGAGGGAACAGGAGGGTACAAGGCACGCTAGGCTCCTGCTGTCACGTCTAGTGGGAGGGATAAGACCTAACACAGCCGAGGAAAACGTCAAAGCGACAAGCTCCACAGTAACCAAGAGGATGCAACGGAAAGGGACTGGGCAGAGATTTTCAGACTGCATGGGGAGGCGAGGCGTCTGGGAGGTGGAGCTGAAGCCAAGAGGTGAGCCTCAAAAGACAAGTGAGGGTGTGAGGGAAGAGCAGTGCAGAGGCCCACGGAAAAGGCAGTCTGTGCCGGGTGGGGATGAGAGGGGCTGAGTGAGGCCGAGCAAGACAAGAGAGGTGGAGAGCAGACTGGCAGCCATGGGCCTGCTCGTGCAGGACTAAGTCAGAACGAGGAGCTGGGAATTTCTTCCAAGTGAGCAGAAGGCTGAGAGAGGATTTTAGGCATGGGTGTAACATGATCTGTTATTTCCAGAAGTTCATTCTTCCTGCCATACAGAGATGTGGTATAGATAACATGGGACTCCATGGTAATCCAATCCTTTCACTAAAAGAAGAACCATATATATATGCAAATGCATGTACACGCACACACATCTCTGTTTAACACACTATCACTTCACATAATGAAATGCCAAGGCCTGTATTTCCAGAAACATGTGTGCACGTACACACGCTATTTCTCCCACTGTCCTGAGTGATTTCCCATTTATATCAATGTCTAGAGTCTGCCAATTACAAGTGTAATAGCTACCACAGCCAACAACCTTAAGAACTTCCCCTGTGGACCCTACACATTAATATAACCTTTATTCTGCTAAGAAATCTGACACTGTAAATATAAAGGTAATGAGTACAAGAAATGAAGAGTTAAAATTGCTATGTAAAATGTCATGACAACTCTTCTCTCCTAAATATAGCACAATTTAATGAAAGCATGGTACGTGAAACAAAATCAAAGCTGAGGTTACTGCTCTATCAGTGAAAAAGGAACTGCAGCCTATAAATTCTACTTTTAGTTCCCAAAGATAACAGTGGACCAAGAAAGTGTGTATGAGACTTTTCCACACAAAAAAGATGTGAATATGTAAGGACAACATGACTACTCTCAGTCAGGTTTCCACAAATTCAGAGTAGGTGCTTTTAAATCAAATAAATGATTAGCTTTCTGAGAAATAATGCTTCTGAGTTTGTTCTCAAATTATAGAAAAAATACTTCTGGACTTGACACAAATACCAGATTATAGTAAGCACAAAAATTTATTTCTGTGGATATTTCCCTCTATAGAACCAATGAGAAGAAGCAGTAATCTAGTTACCAAAAATTTCAGTCACAGTAAATTGCTTAAAAGCAAACTATATCCTCAAAAATACAGCATGCTCTAACTTAAAGTTTTTTTAACTTGTATTACTAAAATTCTAAGCTCTTTGAAGATACTAATAATGTTCTAATTTCTTCAATTTAAAATTCTGCAAAATAAACCACTTAAAGATCACCTTCATTTTTAAACCATTTCATATTATGTAGTCCTAAAAAAATGAGTGAATACCTGGAATGCTTCACTTCTGACTGCTTTTTCTGTAGTAAGATTTGAGGGAACTGACCAAACTTGGTACTCTAAAATACCAGAATATGCTAAATTTAATCTGCAGTTCAGACCACAGAACAGAGGTCAAGGAGAAAGCTCTTCTGGGTCTAATAACGAACTTCAAAAGAATAGCTGCTGCAGAACTCCATTCTCAGAGCAAGACTGAAAATTCAAGAAACCACTAATTTGCACAATTTCTCTGGAAAGTTGTAAACTTTACACTGAAGCCATGAAATGTAAATTTTACATACAAAAGTTTATTAAATCCTAGCAGGTTCAAATTCAATCCACCACAGAAGAACATAAACAGCAAGTTTAATTACTTAATTATTAAAATATATTCAGGGACAAATGCTGCAACACTCACTGTCTAGCTCAGTGGCACTCAGAAGAGCTGGAACATGCATCCTCATGGCCCACGCATGGACAAACAGCCACAAAGAACCACGGCTAAGACTAAAGCGGGCTGATATTTGAAGGCACCAACAGGAGGCTTCTGAAAATCTTAACTGTGGTTTCTTAAAAAAATTTTGAGTAGAACATGATGCAGACATCTGACAAAGACCTTCCCTAGCCCAAGGCCGCATGCACGTGCAGAGACTCACCTATGTCACACTCCTTCAACCGCAAGTCCTTGGCAGGCCTGCCATCAGGGCTCCGGAAGGCGTTAAGAATCTGCAGGAATATGGTGTTTATACTAATGATACAAATTATAATCAAATAGTGAATATTATATGTTCCCTACTAGTGTTTAGTCTATATAATTTAAAGTTGTGATTACTTTATAAAGGCAAAACTAAGCCATGTACACTCTAAGCATTCAAAAACTGCTGAATGAGAAAATGTAATTATTTCAAACTTCCCCAGTATATAAAAAAGGCAGAGGAACATAACTGCTAAGAACTCAAGCTCTGACATCAGACTGCCTGCACCAAGCCCCTCAGGCTCATCTGCAATGGACCCTCCAGGCCCCATCCCCATCCATTAGGCATGACAATGCACTGGGCTCCGTTGTTCCAGACCTGTGGTCCGGTCGCTTCCTCCCCATCTGCCAGTGGGCAGCCCTCTCTTGACTGCAGGCCTGGGCTCCAATGGCACCCCTTCAGTGGCTCCCCTATCTTCTGACTCACCATCTTAAACAGCCCCGCCCCGGCAATGTGCTGAGCCTCTATGGCAGTCCCCTCGAGCATGTGACACCACCCGGGACCATTGTCCACTCCATCATCATCCATGGGACAGTGACCAGTGACTCTGTGACACTCACCCTTCCATCACTCAGTGCCCAGAACAGTGCCTGGCAAACAGTAGGGCTTGATATTTGGAGTGCGTGACTGAGCACACCAATGCAGAGGACACTCTGATAACTGAATGAACTACTGCTTGTAAGAACTGCCCAAAGCCTCGCATAGAGTGAGCACTATTCACTCTTTCTGTGACATCCTGACCAAATTCTGCTGTAAATTCAGCCACACTTTGGTCAGCCAGTTCTTCACCCCTGAGGTGAGGACACAGTTATTTTCCTACTACAAATAAATTACTGTCACGCATACCACCCACCCTCCCTCGTGGATAATAAAAAAGGCAGAGGAACATAACTGCTAAGAACTCAAGCTCTGACATCAGACTGCCTGCACCAAGCCCCTCAGGCTCATCTGCAATGGACCCTCCAGGCCCCATCCCCATCCATTAGGCATGACAATGCACTGGGCTCCGTTGTTCCAGACCTGTGGTCCGGTCGCTTCCTCCCCATCTGCCAGTGGGCAGCCCTCTCTTGACTGCAGGCCTGGGCTCCAATGGCACCCCTTCAGTGGCTCCCCTATCTTCTGACTCACCATCTTAAACAGCCCCGCCCCGGCAATGTGCTGAGCCTCTATGGCAGTCCCCTCGAGCATGTGACACCACCCGGGACCATTGTCCACTCCATCATCATCCATGGGACAGTGACCAGTGACTCTGTGACACTCACCCTTCCATCACTCAGTGCCCAGAACAGTGCCTGGCAAACAGTAGGGCTTGATATTTGGAGTGCGTGACTGAGCACACCAATGCAGAGGACACTCTGATAACTGAATGAACTACTGCTTGTAAGAACTGCCCAAAGCCTCGCATAGAGTGAGCACTATTCACTCTTTCTGTGACATCCTGACCAAATTCTGCTGTAAATTCAGCCACACTTTGGTCAGCCAGTTCTTCACCCCTGAGGTGAGGACACAGTTATTTTCCTACTACAAATAAATTACTGTCACGCATACCACCCACCCTCCCTCGTGGATCATACCCTAAAGGATGATCATCAGGCCTCCGGACGGCAATCATTTGTCATAATTCTTTTTTTTTACAAACTTCACCATAGTGAGCGTGTGTGTAACTGGTGAAAACTGGTAAGTTCTGTGGACTGTGCCAAAGCCAGCCTCCTGGTTCAGCTGCTCTACTACAGTAACACAAGACGGTAAGACTGCAGGAAGTTTGCTCAGTGAGCGGTACCCCAAACATGCCTGTGTATTTCTTTGTATCCTCCTGTGGATCCGTAATTTTTCAAAATAAAAAGCTTTTATAAAATTTTTAATTGACCAAAAAAGAAAAAAGAGACTTACCTCTTCTTTTGAGGCATTTTCAGGCACCCCACTTAATCGAATAAGCTTGTTTGGCTTCTCCTCACTTGGACTAGTCCTGTAATCTTGATCCTTCAATCCAGAATAAAAAATTATTTCAGAAATAAATATGTTAGTGTACAAAATGACACTGAACATGAAATACAGGTACTTCGGATCAAAAATAAAAAAAGACTCATATCATACAAACATACAAAAAATTTTAATTTTATTTTTCTCAGTTCCAAAATTTCACTTCAAATCATAAGAATGTTAGTATGCTAATAAGACCAAGGCTCACTGAGGGAGTCTTCAAACAGGAAAAGGAGAGTAAGAGAAATAACACTGCACAGGGCTCACAACCCGGACAGAAAAGAACCTATTCTCAAAAGCACAGCTCTCCTGGATGAGAAAAAAGCAAAGAGAATGAATGAATGAATAAAATTAAACCTATGTCATCTATCAAAGGTGTCATCTGACCAAAGACATTTGCATTTCCATATTCACAAGTCTCGGCTCCAACTGAGTTCCCTCCATTTTAAAAGCTATAAAAGGATTTAACTTTTGAGGAAAGGTCTTGTATAAATAAGTAACCATGCTTTCCAGTGATGCCTGCTATCCTGGCATTATTGTCAGTACTGTTCCCTTTTATTCTCCGAAGTGCCCTGATGTGAACAGTAAGTCCTATGGTCACCAAACTCTAACATTCTCAAAGTCCATTATTTGGTTAGCATGCTTGAGGGTTACTATCCAAATAACAGACACTGGATAGAGATGGGTAACATTCTATTTTAAAAGACACTATTTTTATTGTCCAACTGCAAACATAACTCTCCTCCCTTCGACTCCACACATACTACACTACATATTACATATATATATAGAAATTCAACACGGAGTCAATCACACTAGCCACATGGAGATGCCACACCAACATGCCCTCCTGGTCACTCGCAGGTGCCCCTAAATGAGCCTCACAAAGAAAAAGGCCCCAGAACTGCCACAGGGTCTGACTAGGAAAGAACCTACCTTACCCCAAGGTTTTTATATCAGCACCAAGAAAGCACAGTAATAGATACATATCTGAGCTGAGGGCCGTTCTTGAATATAAATTCTGATTTTTAGTGGTGGTACGAAGAGAAGCCTGGGACCGATGATCCTGGACTCTACACTTCATCCTTCAGAAAAGCCATAAAAGCAAAAAGCTAAAGAACAGTCCACCCCATTAACATACCTGAAGATCCCGTTGGGCATCTCGGGAGGTTCTGCCCTCTGAAAAAGACTTGCTCTGGCCAAAGCCAAATATCTGGCTTCCTGGCATCCTATGATCCACATCACGGTACTCCATGCTTCTGTAATCAGTGTCTTGTTGGCCAAGGAAGTCCAGACCACCTTCTTCTTCAAACAGACCAGTTTCTGAACTCGGTCGTTTGCCTCTGGAAAGCTGTGACTTGTCTTCATCTTGAAGTGGATTTTGGCTGTTCTGAAAGTCTGATGGAGACTCCTGTTCAAAGGCTACATCTTGTGTTTCTCCTTCCCTTGTTTCTGAATGCTCAAATTCTCCTTTCTGAATGCCAAAAGCAGGTTTTCCTGTTGTATGGTCATGTGTAGATTCTTCTCTCTTGTTCACATTCATACCAGAATGTTCTCTATCTTGCATAGAGGGATGAACGTAATCCAAAATATTTGGATCCACAGAGGGCATCTCCCTACCTTTAAATTCTATACAAGGTCCTACCTCCCTGCCCCTAAAATCCTGGTCAGTCCTAGACCGGTGTCTACCTCTGAAATCTGAGTGTGGTGCATCCCTGTCCCTAAAGTCTAGATCACTAGTTCCTGAACCTCGGCCTCTAAAGTCCACCTGTGTTTCATCTTTGTCCCTGAAGTCCAAATCAGATATATCTCTACTCCTAAAATCAGAACGGGACTGCTCTCTGGCCCTGAAATCCAAATCTGATAAATCCCTTCCCCTAAAATCTGCATGGGATCCATCCCGGCCTCTAAAATCTAAATCATAGGCTCCCCTGCCCCTGAAGTCAGGTGGAGGAGCATCCCGACCTCTAAAGTCAGCAGTGTGACCCCTGTCTCTGTAGTTCATGGGAGATGCCTCCCTACCTCTGTAATCCATAGAAGTGCTGTCTCCACCCCTGTAGTCCATAGGTGGTCCTTCTCTGTCTCGAAAATCCCCAGAATGTACATCCCTACCCCTGAAGTCCAACTGTGATGAATCTCTGCTCTGGAAACCAGAAGATGAAAAATCTCCCCCCCTGAAATCATGTCCAGGTCCCTCCCCTCCTCGATAGTCACCATGTGGTCCATCTCTAGCTCCATAGCTGAAAGAATGCTCCTCTACATTTGCAAAGGGAGGCCCCGAATGCCCCTGGAAATCAAAGGGAAGTGAATCTCTGCCAGGAAAGTTGCCAGAGTGTCTTTCTTGAGCATGACTCTTAAGGGGAGGAGGAGGATAGTCCCTGTTCCACCCGGGAGCAAACCTTTCTTCTTGGCTCCCGCTGTAGAAACAAAGACAGTGTTATTCATATTGTCCAGAGGTTTTTAATCTACACACCAGCATATTCTTCTCTAATCACAGCACATTCTTCTGCAAATATTTTTTTTTGGCAGAGTTCTGTAACAAAGTCCTAGATCTGCAGAAAACAGCACTGTTTTGCTATTTTAAGACGAGGTGGTGGAGTAAACTTTTATGCTCCCATTTCAGAACACGAGGAAAAGTCAACACAAGGTTTTCAACATGACAGCTGCAGAAAAAGCTTTCACCCAGTCCTGCAATGGGGAAAATCCGCAACACCAGATAAGCTAGCAATGATGACACACTACAAAAATTTCCATTTCCTATAGTCAAGGAACTTAGAATTCCAAGATCAACATGATGATTCCTACAAATCAGAAAAATCAATGCCCTTATAAATTTATTGGAGTAAGTTTCGGGAGGTGTCCTTCTCATTGCTGCATACAGGGCTAACAGTCCAAAGTATCTGATCCCAGACACCACCAGATCAGATGCAGGCCCGAAATGCAGAGATAGCGGCTCTAAATCACCAGCAGAGCCATGCCAGTGTTCACTGGATGGCATCAGCCCGGGCTGCCTCCAAAGCCCAGTCCTAAGGGCTGTCTAGCAGCACTCTCATCTGGGTCCTTTAATTAGAACCACCAAAAGTTATCACAGAAGCAGCACGAATCAGGCCACAAAGCACATGTGAGTTACCTAAGACAAGTGACAGCATCCAGGAGCTTGATGCTGAAAGGGACGGAGTGGGGGCACGAAGCCTTCAGGCATTATCCTCGCATCCCAAATGGAGAGGCTGATATTCCAAATTCCAATGCCTCATGCTAATGTTCCATGGTAATAAAAATATGTTTTAAAATAAGCATTAAAATCACATTCTCAGTTTACAGAACTCAAGAGATAAATGAGACCTGGCCCAATCTTTCCTACTGCCCAACTTCTTCCCTATGCCCAGCCTCCAGGCCATTTTACGTGTTTTGGACTTTGGTAAAAAGCAAGGAATTTGAACAGGCAATTAGGTACCTAGGATCCCAGGCTCAAGGAGGGGGACTGAAAAAGGAAAACGTGGGAGGACATGAAGGGTTATCTACTCTGAGTAGTAGAATAAGTTTTAAGAGGAAAATCCAGCTCAGTTCTCTGCCCCCAGAATACAGAGGTTCTATCACACAACCCTTCTGAGCACAGACTGCACCACTACAGAAAGGTGCAAAGGACACCTGGTTCTGGGTCACACAATTCCGGAGAAACTGTTCCAATACCAAACCCTTTCCTAACAAGGATCTAACATTGGTAACCTGAACATCAGAATAATGCATATTTAATGGACTTTCAGAACATGATGCCTTCTATGCACATTAGTTATGTCTATGAGGCTCATCATTAAGAGGCGTGTTCAATGTTACTCACAGTAACTCTAGGGTCTCCCATATTTAAAATCATTCAAATGCCAACAGTTAGCCTGTGGCAGACTTAGCCCTCAGCAGACACTCGGGATGAGTGCTGAGGTAGGTGACGCTACACATTTTCTGACTGAACACAACAACACTGTTGTGAATACTGCCCTAAGGATTATCTTATCCTCTTATATTGAGAAGATCAAATAGCCCTAGAGTAACCTACTGCACTAGAGTCCCTAGCACTGTTTTTTATGCTGGATATTCAAGAAACAGGTCTAGTGATATAAAATAGCAGTGGCTATGAAAATCATTTTCAACCAAATAAAAAAAATTAAGAAGTGAAGATGAAATACAAAGTAATTTTCCTTCAAGACACCTTTTTAAATCCAAATTAGTCCCCCTAGAAGTTGTTACATAGACTACATCTCCCTTTAAAAAAATAAAAGATAAAACTACATCTCCCTTTTGTCAAAGATCTTAAAAAATAACATGAAATGACTTACATTTAAACTAAAATTAAGGTGGGGAAATGTAACTTTAAATAAATTGGCCAAAGAAAAAACATTCTGAAAAGTGTTTTAAATTTATGAAATAGAGCTAAATACCATTCTGGAAGCTTACCTAAACCATATAAATTAGGTTAGTTCTATAAGAAACACCTCATTTACATAATAGTTTTCCATAAATGTACACAAAAAGATTACAATCTATACATTTTTAAATGCTAAAGTACAAGGCCGCTAACCTAGAGTAGGGATCAACAAACTTTCTCCATTTAGAGCCAGACAGTAATTTCATCCGTTTTTACAGAATCTTCACAGCGATTCAACTCTGCCACTGCCCATGGAAGTGTGCACAGCTTGCAAACAAACGACTGTGCCTGTGTTTCAATAAAACAAAAACTGCGGGCTGTAGTTTGCTGACCACTGATCTAGACTTTAATATTTTGAAAGAAAAACATACCCAGCATCACCACCATTGCTTTAAAGATTGCTGAGCAGAAAACCCCTATCATTCAGTATTTATGCAAACACCAGCTTTACTAAATATATGAATTTTAGAAACTCACTTCTTTACCTAAATTTTTCATTGGAACCCCAAGCTTCAGACTAATGAATTAGAACATCTCCTGAATTTGCATAATAAAATATTTAACTGCCAATCCAAGCATACATTATTTTGCTAAAAGAGATAATAAACAAGTAATTGGGAGATATTTTTTAATGTTTAAAAAAATGCTTCAACATGAAACACTTGGCTTGTTCAGTCTCACAAGCATTATGGAAATGACTACAAATTTTTAACTATTTCTGTTTTTAAAAAATCAGAACTATTTCTGCACAAGGAAAATATCCCCTTTATGGAAGACCAAAAACATCACACTTTATCATTAAAATATTGACAATTTCAATATTCAAACTTCAAGACTTACCGAAAAGGTCCTGTTCTATTAGCAGAACGAGAATCCCCCCACATCTCTTTCTGTGTCAAGAGGGCCCAATAAGCAGATCCTTTTGCTACTGAACTATGGTGATAGCAGTATCTGCACAAGATAAACGACAAAGAATAAGTTAAGTGAGAACATGAAGGGAAGGCAAGACTATTTCCTCCTACTTGTCCTTCAGGAACCACATCAGCAGTGATATTTCTAGAAGCCTTCTTTAAACATTTACATATTCATTTATAACAAGAAAAATACATTTTTAATTAAAAATGTGTTTTCTGGGACACCATAAACTTCTCAATGTACTAAGAATGCATTACATGTACTAAATTTTTACTAATTTTTCCAGCACCCATTTACCTTCATTTCTGGAAACAGCATCTTAACATTAAGACCATTCTCAGTGTGCGTGGCCGATCCTACCCCATCCAGGCTGGCCAGTCAGAATGGTCTATTACCCTCACCAGTGACTGCTTTCAAGATGGGCATGTAACCCAAGTCAAGCTGAGAGGTCATCTCCAGAACCTTTGCTGCCCTTATTAAGAAAGAGGCAAACTTCCATGACCTTGAGTCTGGCGATGGTTTCATAACCGTGACACCAAAGCACAAGGAACAAAAGAAAAACAGATAAAAATGGACCTCATCAAAATGAAAACTTTTGTGCATCAAAGGACACTCAAAAGAGCAAAAAACAACCCGCAGTTCAGCAAAATGGTAGACTACAAAGCTCCAAAGACTTGTTGCTGCAGAAACATCGAAAAACCAGCAGAGACTATCCGAATCAATGTCACTGGAGCTTTAGAAAATAGCCAAAGGTTTACAACAAGCAAGCAAACTCGGTTAAGGAAAAGCCATCTTCAAAATAACAGGAAAGTTGTGGTATCTCACTATCCCCAGCCACCCTCTAGCAGGGCAGTTTGGTCCTGAAGCAGAAGCAGCCCAGTTCCCAGCTTCCTCCCACAAACCTGACTTGCAAATTGTTGTGTACACCTGTCCTCACCTGTCTGGGCGATGTCTGAAGGACTGATGCAAGGTCTTTCTGTTTCACGTAACTCAGAGTGGGTCGGGGAGAGAGGCCCAGTGGCAAGTACTGCTACTAACAGCTGCAAAGCAGGCTACAGACTCACAGACATGAAGAGCTTTGGGAAATTAGGACATTTCAAAGCAACATCTATATGGAAAACCTTAGAAAGCCACATGCAAACCCAAGCAAGACACATGATCAGACAAGACCTGAGAAAAACCTTAGGCTTTCACCTTAGGCTGATCCCTAGACTCAGAGCAAGCCCCAGCATAGAGCCAATCTACAAAAACACAGAGATGGCTATTTATTTTTCTGCTTTTCTCTTGCTTTTGTTGGTGTGTTTTTGTTTGTTTTCAATTTGAGCTCCTGGCACTAAAGGAAATCTTGGTCAAAACATTACATAAACACACAGGCAAAAGGAATAGACATCAGTGATCATACATGTAAAAGAAATAGTCTTTGCAAAAATAGTTCAGAAAAAGTCAGAAGAAGTCTAAAACCAGACTATTGTCTCTAACAACCAAAAAATAAAAAAAACAAAAACACGAAACCAGCAAACCCCAAGAAAGGGGGATAATCTGATTTCCAGAGCTATCATATTATAGTAGTCAAATGCCCAATATTCAATTAAGAGGGGGGCATACAAAGAAACAGGAAAATGTGGCCCATTCAAGGAAACAAAATAAATCTTCAGAAACCATCTCTGAATAAGCACAGACATCAGATTTATTACACAAAGACTTTATTAACAACTGCCTTAAGTATGCTTAAAGAACTAAATGATAACACAAAGAACTAAAGGAAATCAAGAAAGCAATATACATAAACAAAATGAGAATGAATATCAACGAACACACAGAAATTTTTTTTTCTTTTTTTTTTTCTATCCCCTCATGCTCCTTTACAGCATCTCCATCCCATCCCAAGGCAACCACTATACGTTGTCTCTGTAGATTTCCTGTGGTGGATTTCTAAGGAATGAATCCCTATGTCCTTGACCAGACTGGGCCATTGCTCTTCCTGGTTTCTGTCTGTCCCTCAACGCTGCTCAGCACAGGGCCAGACCCACACATGGCTCAGGGTTTGCTCAAGGAAAAGTGGGTGAGCTCACACCCCCTTAGGGGTTCTCCAGCCCCGCGCCTTCCTAAGGCCCCAAAGGGCAGGCCTGGGGGCTCATGGTCCGGTTCCGCCTCCTGAAGAGCACGTGGGGCTGCCTTGCTGAGCCCCACAGCCTTGCGGGAGGGGCGCCTACTCCCCAAGTCCTCCTCGCGGGGACTGCAGCTCCCAGTGGCCCGCACAGGCGCGAGCTCCGCATCAGTGCGTTCTAGGGCGTCCCCTGGCAGCTCCTAACCCCAGCTCTCAAAGACACAGAAATTTATACAGTGGGATAAAAAATTCTGGAGCTGACTCTCACTTACCAACTTTACATTTCCCTGTATGGCCCCGGAAGATGACTGGTTAGCCAGAGATGGGTAAGATTCCTCAAGGGAGGAACAACCTAAGACAGGCACAGTCACAGGGGGACCATCAGGTGAGAAATTGGTGAACAACAGTGGTGAAGCTTAGAACCTCACCCCCACCTGTGTTGAGAGAAAGCTTCTGCATCCATGGATGTTTTATTGCCCTTGTCTAGCTCGGATTAGCACATAGTCTATAGGCACACACCTGATCATCTACAATTGCTCTCTTACAGCACTAAACTATGTTTTCTACCTTTATCTTGCATCTACCTACCACTTCAGCAGTTATTAAAAATAAAAATAACAATAATAATAAAGGGAGAAATGTGGGATCCACATATTAGGATCTGAAATGTCAAGTATAAAAATCAAACGAATATTCATATTTGACCTGATTGTTTATAGTTCATAATGCGTGATCAGAACCGAAAGTTTCTGTGATGAATGCCCTTGTACTGTTCACCATGTAAGAACTTATTCACTATGTAAGAATTCGTTCACCATGTAAGAACTTGTTCGTTATGCTTCAGAAGATTGGAGACTGACGAGAACTAGGCTTGAGATGGATTAATGATTGTGCATTGAGCATTGACCCCCTTATACAGAATTTTATTGTTGTTAACAACCATTTGATCAATAAATATGAGAGATGCCCTCTCAAAAAAAAAAAATTCTGGAGCTGAAAAGTGTATGTGAAATGAAAAATTCACTACAGAGGTCCAACAGCAGACAAGCAGGCAGAAGGATCAGCAACACTGGAAGACAGACAACTGAAATTACCTGATCGGAAGAGGAGAAAGAGAAAAGATGAACAAAGATGACTGAAGACCAGGGGGCCTGGAGACAGCAAGAAGTGGACCAACATACAATTATGGGAGTCCCAGAAGGAGAGAGAGAAAGGGCAGAAAGATCATCTGAAGAAATAATGCCCCTCCCTCAAAATCCCCAAATTTGAAGAAAGATACGCACCTACAAACCCAAGAAGCCAAACGCAGTATAAGTAGGATAAATCTGTGCATTATGTACAAGCAGAATAAACCTGATCACACATTATGCACAAACTGTGGAAAACGATGAATCTTGAAAGCAGCAATAGAGAAGTGCCTTGTAACTACAAGAGAACCTCAATAAGATTATCACCCAATTAGAAACCTTGGTGGCCAGAAGGCAGTAGAGGTTATATTAAATCCACAGGGAAAAAACAAACTGCCAGTCAATAGTCCTTCAAAAATGAGGAATAAATTAAGACATTTCCAAACAAAAGGGAGTTTATTACCACTAGATGGGTTCTGCAAGAAATGCTAAAAGGAGCTCTTCACGTTAAAAGGAAAGGAAGCTAAAGAGTAACCCAAAACTTTCAATGAAATAAAGATCCCTGGCAAAGATAAATACAGAAGCAATTTTAAAAGCTAGTATTATTATAACTTTGGTCTGTAACTCCACTTTTTATTTTCTACATGATTTAAAAGACAAATGTATAAAAAAACAATTATTAATCTAGGTTACTGAAGACACAATTTATAAAGGCATTATCTGTGACCTCAATAACAGAAAAAAGGGAGGGAAAGGAGCTGTTAGAAGCAGAGTACTTTATGCTATTCAACTTGAATTGGTATAAATTCAAATTAAATTGTAACTATAGGATGTTATATGTTAATTCCCATAGTAACCACAAAGAAAACATCTATAGACAACACACATAAGGAAATGAGAAGGGAATCAGAACATTTCACTACAAAAAAAATCAACTAAACCCTAAACTAAACATGAAGGACAAAAATAGCAATAATATATAGAAAACAAATAGGTTGTGTACCCATATCAGTAATTACTTTAAATATAAATAATTTAAACTTTTCCAATCAAAAGACCAGATTGGTAGAACAGATTTTAAAAAGCCATGATCTAACTATATGCTGTTTTCAAGAGACTCACTTTAGTTCCAAAGACAAATAGGCTGAAAGTGAAAGGATGGAAAAGATATTCCATGCAAATAGTAACCAAATGAGAGCTGCAGCAGCTGTACTAATATCAGACAAAAATAGACTTTAAATCCAAAAAAGGTTACAGAAGACAGAGGGACATTATATATTACTTAAATGTTCAAAAAAATACACCAAGAAAATAAAACAATCACAAACATAAGGCACTTAATAACAGATCCCCAAAATATCTGAAGCAAAAATCTAAAAACCTTAAGGGAGAAATAAACAGTCCAATAATAATAGTTGGAAACTTCAAACCCCATTTTCAATAATGAATAGACCAGTAAGACAGATATAAGGAAAGAAATAGAGAATTTAAACAACACAATAAACCAACTAAACCTAACAATCGCACAGAACACTCTGCCCAGCAACAATAGAATCACATTTTCTCAAGTACATGTGGGATGTTCTCCAGGATGGACCATTTAAGCCACAAATGTCTCAATCAATTTAAAATGACAGATGCCATACAAAGTATCTTCTCTGACAGAAATGGAATAAAGTTAGAAATCAGTAACAAGGAAAACTGTAAAAATTTAAATGCATATTACCTCTGACTTTCCAGTTCCTCTTCTAGAAATTCATTCTTTAGAAATTTATAGTGTGAGGTGACATGTTTATAAAGGT